GATGAAAGTGGTACCTCCTCTCAGACTTGTGAGGATTAAATGAGATGACAGCTAATAATTATAATTATGCTAATAATGCCCCAAACAAGGCCTGGTGCCATTGACTTCAACAAATCATAAGGTGTTCGGGGACTTCAAGAGAAAAGACAGCATTTGAAACCATGGGTTCAGATTGGGCGATAGAATTCCAGAGCTGGGAAGGTGCCTTAGGAACCACGTGGTATTGAGACCCCCCAGCACCCCCGAGTGCAGATGGGTCTTGCCCACGATTCACTTAAACCCACACTATTTGACTGGTAAACTCCTGGGGCAGAGCTGGCTTATACTGGGAAGTTGGGTATTTGCTTTTGGAGCCAGAAAAGTTTCAAGTGGCTCAGCCCCTCCCTGTCACTCCTGGTTCCTGCCTGCCCAGTTCCTTCCTCAGGATCATCAGGATGAAGGCAAGCTGGCTGAAGAGCTGGCTGAAGTACAGGGGCAAGTGGCACTCTCCACCCCCAACCAGAGTCGTAGCCGTCTCCTGCCTCTTAAGCTCCCCACACCTCTCCCATTCTGGGTCTGCGATTGGCCAGAGAAGCCCAGGGTTCTAGAATGTGGCAGAAGAAAGGGTAAGGGGTATAGTTACTGCACCGGAGGGCAGCAGTGGAGAAGTTGCAGGGGGGCTTTGTGTCCAGCAGTGCGGTGTTGGGGTCTCAGCTCAAGAGGGCTCAAGGCAGCAGGTGCCCAAGGCCTTCCCTGTGTGTTCTCTTTCTGAAAGGGAGGGCAGAGCGAGGCCACAGCCTGGAGCATCCGGTTCCAGCCAACTGCTGCCAGAGGCTCTCCATTCAGAATGGGGGTCAGGACAGGCAGGCAGCTAGGGGGCCCTGAGGCGAAAGTACCTCATCCTACTAAACTGGCCAGAGGACATTCAGTGACATGGGAAAATGCTCACAAGGTGTTGGTACCAAGACAACCATGAGAACAAAAGCTGGCACGGAACAACAGCAGTGTCCTGGTTTTTGTAAATAAACAGGCTCACATGGGGAAAAAAAGGCTGTAAATCTTACCACCAAATCGCCAGCAGTGGTCCTCTGAACAGTGGCTAACGGGTCATTTATATTTTGTGTGTCTTGACTATATTTTCCAAAATTTCTACGATGACCATGTTATAAGGAAATACATTTATTTAGGAAATCAAAACATTTTAAACAAACAAGCCTTTTTAAAAATTTTTTAAAACCTCACCTAAGGCCGGGACCGGTTTGGCTCAATGGATAGAGCGTCGGCTTGGGGACTGAAGGGTCCCGAGTTCGATTCCGGTCAAGGGCATGTACCTTGGTTGCGGGCATATCCCCAGTAGGGGGTGTGCAAGAGGCAGCTGATCGATGACTCTCTCTCATCGATGTTTCTAACTCTCTATCTCTCTCCCTTCCTCTCTGTACAAAATCAATAAAATATATTTTAAAAACAAAAAACAAAACCCTCACCTAAGCCTATGTTTGTATTGATTTTTAGAGAGAAAGGGAGAGGCAGAAAGAGAGAGAAACATCCATCATCTGCCTCCTGACCAAGGATTGAACACACAACCTTTTGGTGCATGGGTTGACGCTCCAACCAACTGAGCCACCTGGCCAGGGATGAATGAACAAGCCTGCATTGCTACCAATGGAATTGTTGGCAGAAGGCTTGTACATTTAAACAGATCATAAACAGGAAGTTCTGTTTATGTTTGTGCAGAGCAGACATTCTCAGAAAGACTTCTGGGACCTGGACGAGGGATGCTCAGCTTGACAGTCTTACATTTATTTGAAATTTTAAACAATAATGAGCATACGTTATAATTTTAAAAAGACAACCCTTCAAACAACTTTGCTAATCTTTGCTGACTGCCTGGTTCTTCCTGCGCAGAATCTGGCTGGGGTGGTCAGTGGGCTCACCCAGTGGGATCAGCATTTTTTCCAGCATCTTTAGGAAAGAGCTGTCTCTGGTCCCTAAGACTCCCTAACTCCAACTTGGTTTCATGACGCCAGCTTTGACACCAGTCAGTAACCATTTTCCGAGGCCCTTTCTGCATCCAGCGGGCAGAGCCAGGGTCATGATCCCTGCCTCAAGAAGCTTGTGGTCTAGTGGTTGAATTCTGCTAGATAAGAACCCCTGAGACAGCTTCGGCTTGTGTGGGATGTGAAGTATGAGTATGATTTCGACAGAAGAAAAAAGAGAGCAAGGGCATTCTAGGAGGGAGTGGGGTGGCAGTATTACAAAAGCAGGGGTATTAACCTGTTAACTGAGTGGGACCTATAAATACATCAAACATAAACAATATTGGGAATGTGTAGGACGTATGAATACATCCTGGAAATATATGTTGCGCCCTGAGAGGGACGGTATATATTTTTTGTAATCTTTATAATGTTTGTAAAATTTATAATTTTTTAATTTGATGTTTCCATTTTTTTGTTGGTATTCTTTTCTTTTTTCTTTTTTTTGGTAATTTTGTATTTTTCTTTGTGCTTTATATATAAATAAATGAAAAAAATATATCATTTATTTTAATTAAGTATAAATAAAAAAAATAATAATATGAAGTTACGTCCTCCGGGCGTGATGTACTGACACGTCCTAGTGAAAGAGTACGCGCCCATTACAAGTTGCGTAATTAAAAAGGGAACTCCCTGGTTAACAGACCAAAATATGCTTAACACTCTCCATTTGGGATCTGAATATTATAACACTAGAGGCCCGGTGCATGCGTGGGGCTCCTCTGGGTGGCCTGCGGGGATCGGGTTGAAACCCCACAGTCCAACACTGCCTACATCTCCTACCTGCCGCTCCCGCTCATCTCACGCCCAATCAGTCCTGAGCGGGAGAGGCTCACATTGCTGCTTGCCAGCTGTGAGCCCTGCATCTGACACCCTCCCAAGTTCCCTGGAAACCTGAACCACAGAATGGAAGATGGAGTTATGTGAAACAGACCAGAAACAGTGAAATGTGCTCATTTTTGAGAAATAACCATGCCTTGGTGCGCAATGATGATTCAGCACCTTGGCCAGCACCCCATCCCCTCCATGTCCCCCCACCTCCCGCTCCAGCCCCCTGCATTTAAGCCTGTGACGTGTCCTTTCAACTGACCTCCTAGGGACCGTGACCAGGGCTCGGACCCAGACAGGAGGGAATGCTGCCCAGGTGTGAGCAGTCAGCCTCCCAGGATGGCCTCTCTGGCAGGAGGGAAGGCTGGTCCCGAGCCCCTGGGCCAAGCTCTGTGCAGCCAAGAGACCTTATCTCTGTTGTTTTCTGTCCCTGCTGCCACCCCAGAGAGAAAGATCGAGTTAATGGCCTTGTTAGGTGCTGAGCAGGCCAAACTCTGAGACTAACATTAGACTTACAGGATCCTGAACCATCAGAGCTAGGACCTTGGCTATCAATTACCCAGATCCCTAGCTCCTTCCTCAAAGAGATGGGGAAACTGAGGCCCAGGGGAGAGGGGAACCGCTAAGCTTCACATAGTGCCTTCACAAGTCCACCCTGACCTGGAGACACACGAGGCTTGGCTCTCAACTGAGGCTTAACTGGCAACTGCACAATTCCACAATGTGTGGAGCCTGGGCGTGGCTCCCACTTCGAATCCGGGGAATCCCAGTTCTGGGGGCTGCTTCCTGTCACTGATGCAGTCCTCACAGCGGAGATGTCCGGGAGGTCCAGGAAGAGTTTGGCTTTATTTTTGGATGGGCCTGGGTCTGGTTTCCAGCTCTGCTGAATACTGGCTGTGGGTCCCCTGGGAAGTAATGTTTCAGACACTGAGATGATGATACCAACTTCATATTCTTGTCCTAAAAAGTGCCAGGCTGCTGCACCACACAACTGAGTGTGCATGGCCTGTGTCCACATGCAGGGCTCTGCCTGTCCTGGCCAGGCTGCCTCCCCATCAGAGGTAGAATGCACCTGCTTCTTCACAGCAGACCTGGGGACCTTCCTGGCCTAGGCAGTCCCACACTCCACATAAGGCACAATCAGGAAATACAATAAGTGGCCAGATTATTATGATCTCTAAATGCATAATCATCTGGCCACTCAGTGTATATTATATATAATATTATAAAAGGCTAATATGCAAATTGTCCCCTCGACCAGCACGCAGGCTGGCCAACTGTCCATGTCCCCTCGCCCTGGACCCCACCCATGCATGAATTCATGCACCAGCTGCTAATACACACACACACACACACACACACACACACACACACTGAGTGGTCAGATTATTATGTGTTCAGAGATCATAATAATCTGGCCACTCAGTGTAGACTCCTTAGGGTCAGAGCCAATGGAAAGGTTCAGGAAACTCACATAGTCCCAGGCACTGGCTCTGGGAGGCAGCTAGAGTGAGGCAGGGCCTCCCTAGGTGCATTCCATTTTGCAGCTTACGGATACATCATGTGCGACTGGGTTATCCCCCGCTTTCCATGTGAGGAAACTGAGGCCCAGAGACGTTTACATCATCTCTTTGAAGCCACACTGTGATGGGGCCTGGATTCAAGCCCAGGCCTGTGGGATTCCAGAGACCAGGTTCTTGCTGCTGCTTCATGAGCTCCGCCCTGCACCCAAGGCCACCGCCACCCTCTTCCAGGCAGACTGCCACTCTTGCCTGGCTAGTGAGTGCGACGAGAGTAGTGGTTCAGAGCTTGGTTCTAACCCATGCTCCATCACGTACCCATGTGGGACAAGGAACGGTAAGCGACGCCCTCTATCTTAACCTCGTTTTTCTACTTCTGTAAAATGGGCATAATATTACCGTTTCCCCAAAATAAGACAGTGTCTTATATTAATTTTTTCTCCCAAAGTTGCACTAGGTCTTATTTTCAGGGGATGTCTTATCTTTCCATGCGCTAGGTCTTATTTTCAGAGGATGTCTTATTTTCGGGGAAACACGGTAGCTACCCAGTAGAGTGCTTTGTGTATTCTAATACATGTAGACTGCCTGAGACACAAGAGGTAGGCCTTTTTGTTTTGTCAGAATTAATGAAATTGAGCACTGGTATCCCGTAACTTTAATTTAGTACAAATTCACCATAACTCACAAAATGGGCAACATTTAAAATAAAAATACTGCTGGGGGTGGCCCAAATGAAGGGGTTGGGTGAGACTAAGGACTCCCATGAGAGGCCCAGTGGGCAGCAGTTGTGAGGTGAGAGCCCCCCAAGTTCAGCTAGTCTGGCTCCTTTGGGATGGGTGTAGTCAGAGACTCCAAGTTCAGAATGTAGGCCCCAGACCTAGGAAGAAAAGTCTAAGCTGGAGACGCATTTCAGCCTGGTCCTGCAGGCCCACCTTCTGGGCTCCTGTCCCTGGGCAGGGACTCGGCATGGAACAGGAAAGGTGTTGCTTCAAAGCCAAGATCTGGACGCACACTCGTGGCAAAAATCATGCAGGGCTTCTTCAACATCCATTTTAGTGTCCTTCTAAGGGGCCTTTTTGTATGGCTGAGGCTAGAAAGAAAACTACATTCCCCAGACTCCCTTGCAGCCAAGGTTTTGGACCTGATTTCTAATTCCCCACATAGAATCCCTCATGGAGGCTTGGCGGTGGGAACTGAATTGAGTGGGAGAAGGCAGGCCTCAGGACATCCATTTGCTGGGAAGCGTAGCAGAGGGAGCACAGTTCTGCAGTCAGCGGCTTCCGGAAGCAGTGTCAGGAGAGACACGATGAATCTGGCAGCTGGGAGCTGTTCCTGGAAATTCAGCAAAGTGCTTGCTCCTTCAGCCCCTCCAATGATTTTGTAAAGCCATCAGGGGCCCGGTAATAAATCCTGTCTAGTTAAACGAGCTACGGCAGCTTTTGTTTCTACATCAGGATCTTAACGGAGATAGTCGCCAAGTCTGACGAGAGGGCCCAGCCAGCAGCCCATTCCAGTACTCGGGTCCTGATGAAAACAGCTGCTCCCTGCAGCCTGCTCCACACCTCTAGCCAGTCACAGAGGTCAGGCTGGACCCTTCTCCAAGCCTCATCATCGGCTCAGCTACTGGCTGCCGTCCACAGGCCACCACCGTCTTTACCCGCAGAGAAGTTGGAAAAGCAAGAACCATAATGCTCTTGGTCCGGAGGAGGAAGGAGAGAGTGGTTTTGAGGCCATGCTAGGTCCAGCTACTGCCTGTGTCCACTGGGGGCTGGGGTCACGGGTAAAATGGCCCATCACTAGCTTGGTCAGGGACAGTCTTAGGCCTGGGAGCCCAAGAGGGTTCTGAGTATCTTCTGAGCTGCCAACTGCCGGCAACCACGCTGACATGTCCCGAAGTTAGGGCACGCAGGCAGGAGGGAGGTACAGGGAGACGGAGCCCTGCCCCTGAGAGGATGGGGATGAGGGTTGGGCAGGGGCAGCCCTGAGAAGCCATGTCACACTCCTGGGCCAAAGATGCCTCTCCATCAAGGTCAGAGCTGAAGGACATCGATGCTGAAAGAAGGTTTAGGAATCGTGGAGCACAACCTCCATCTTACAGACAAAGAAAGGCAGGCAGAGGGGTAGACAGAGATCTCAGGCTGGCCGGCGGCTGGAGTCCAGGCCTCCCGTCTCCTGGGCGGGGCTCCCACGGGTGGCCAGGGCCCTGGTGCACCCCCCCCCCCCCCCCCCCCCCCCCCGCCCCCCCCCCCCCGTGTCCTTCGGCGGCGTCAGATGCGGACGGTGTTGATCCGCAGGGGCTGTACGTTCTTGCCGTTGGCGTGGCTCTGCCCGGGGCTGAAGTAGGAGCAGAGCTTCCCCGGGAACTTCTCGCGGAAGGTGTAGAGCCAGGACATGTCGTCGGCATTGTAGAAGATGAGCAGGCCCTGGTCGTAGTTGAGGAAGACGCCCACCTTGTCCAGTTTGTTGCGGACGTTGAGCCGCGTCCAGGGCTCCGTGCAGGCGCTGTACTGGTTGCCGTCGTGCATGACGATGCAGTAGAAGCCGCGGCTGGGCTGGATCTGGATGCTGCCCTTGCGGGTGGCGGCCTCGTGGGCCAGCCCGATCACCCACTGCGTCTTCTCCGCCACCACCACCTCCCAGTAGTGGACGCCGCCGCTGAAGGCCTCGGAGCCCAGCACTGACACCTCCACGTCGAAGCGCTTGGGCGAGTCCTGCAGCGGCTGCGGGTGCAGGTTGCCGTAGGCCACGATGGTGCAGTCGTCGGACAGGATCAGGCGCTGGTGGGCGGTGTCCGGGTCCAGGGTCAGCGCGGCCGGCACTGCGGGGGATGGAGGAGGGAGACGTGAGTGGAGAGGAGACTGTGGACCCATGCTGAGGGTCAGATTCTGATTGGTCCCCAGGAGGCTGCATGATGCTGCACACAAGCCTCCCCGGACCTCCGCTTCCTTTTCTGTTCAATGGGAGGGGAAAGGCCGAGGCCCTCCCAGCTGTCAACGTGGCTCAGGGGAGCTTGAGCTATGCTGCTTGTTCAGGGCAGATGCCGGGCCGTACAGTGGGCATTCCCCAAAAGTTTGTTGAATAAGCCAGAATGAGGTCCAGAACTAAGAGAATAAACCAGAACGAGGCCCAGAACTAAGAGAATTTCAGAGCTGGAAGGGAGCTTAAAAGATTGTCCAAGGGCTGGATAGTCCCCTCGGGGGTGATTTGGAAATCTGTGGGAGGTGTTTGGATTGCCTCAAAGATGGAGTGCAGGGGTGTTAAATGCCCTGAATGGAATGCGCAGGGCAGCCCCAGGTTACCCCACCAATAATTTTCAGATGTTCCACCAGGCAACACTTTTTATACAGTTTGTAATATATATTGAGTATTTAAAAAAAATATATTTTATTGATTTTTTACAGAGAGGAAGGGAGAGAGATAGAGAGTTAGAAATGTCGATGAAAGAGAAACATCGGCCAGCTGCCTCTTGCACACCCCCTACCGGGGATGGGATGTGCCTGCAACCAAGGTACATGCCCTTGACTGGAATCGAACCCGGGATCTTTCACTCCACAGACCGACACTCTACCACTGAGCCAAACCGGTTTCGGCTATATTGAGTATTTTGGAATATAACTACCATGCAAACTGAGGAAAGACTATGTTTGTTTTGTTTAAAACTTCACTGAAGCCCAGCCAGTGTGGCTCAGTGGTCAAGCATCAATCTATGAACCAGGTCACGGTTTGATTCCTGGTCAGAGCACACGCCCAGGTTGTGGGCTCGATCCCTAGTATAAGACCTGCAGGAGGCAGCTGATCAATAATTCTCTCTCATCATTGAGGTTTCTCTCTCCCTCTCCCTTCCTCTCTGAAATCTATAAAAATATATACTTTAAAAAAATCTTCACTGAGAATTGTTCACATTTTTGGAAACTGTATCTTTAAGAACAACACTACTGACTGATATAACCTCCCTCTGCATTTGAGACAGAATACTGTTTTATTTTACTACTTCATTATGTTTTCTAGTGTGGCTGTGAGTGAACATTTACATAGTGACATACATGTTTTATTACAGATAATTTTCTTCTGCTTTTCCTTCATATTACATATTATAGTCAGTGTGTCTATATGCATGCATGTGTATATACATATATGTACTTAAATTATTAAAAGGTCATTCTGTCTTTGAGACATGACACATTATTTGCTATGAGAAGTAGATAATGGGTCTGATAAATCTGAAAACCACTAATTCCAGACTCACCCTCCCATGTGACAGACGGGGAAACTGAAACCCAGAGAAGAGACATGACTAGTGTCAGGTGGTTCAGCGAAGCCAGGACTAATCCAGGCCACGTGCAACCCAGCCCCAGCCCTCTCTTCCCGTCCGCCTCTCAGCTGCCGTGTCCTCTCGTGGAAGGTGTAGAGCCAGGACACACACACACACATGCCAGACACCTCCTCTCTGCTTATAATCACCCTCCTCCCCGCCACACACACACTCACACACACACACTCACACACACTCACACACACACACTCACACACACACACTCACACACACTCACACACACACACACACACTCACACACTCACACACACACTCACACACACACACTCACACACACTCACTCACACACACACTCACACACACTCACTCTCACACACACACACACACACACTCACACACACACACACTCACACACACACACACTCACACACACACACACTCACACACACACTCACACACACTCACACACACACTCACTCACACACACACACACACACTCACACACACACACACACACTCACACACTCACACACACACTCACACACACACTCACACACACACACTCACACACACACACACACACACACACACACACACTCACACACCACACACACTCACACACACTCCACACACACACACTCACAACACACACACACACTCACACACTCACACACACACTCACACACACACACTCACACACACTCACACACACACACTCACACCACACTCACACACACACTCACACACACACTCACACACACACTCACACACACTCACTCACACACACACTCACACACACTCACTCTCACACACACACACACACACACTCACACACACACACTCACACACACACACACTCACACACACACACACACACACACACACACTCACACACACTCACACACACACTCACACACACTCACACACACACACACACACTCACACACTCACACACACACACACTCACACACACACTCACACACACACACACACACACTCACACACAGCTCAATTCCGTGGCTGATCCCCTGGAAACCTTGGCCTCCCAGCAGGTGTGCCCACTCTCCCCTGAGATTCTCTAACATTGGGCCCGCTCCCAATACATCCTGTACCCACATCTTCCAGGGCAAGGACTGTGCGATCCCTTAGCCTCTCCCTGTGCCAGGCGGGAAAGATCTCTGGAAAGGCTCACGCTGCGAGGCTGAGCCGACTTGTGCTATCTTTGGGCGGCAGCACAGCCTGGGTCAGTGGGCCCTGGGCTGGCCACTGGCTGAGCAGAGCTGGCTCTGAGTCTCATGAACTCCTGCCTGTTCACTCCCGCTCCCCTGAGGGAGCTGATGCCCAGCGGGAAGAAGGGAACCTGGAAGCGGCCCTCCTTAGCGTGGAGGACCATTCCCAGGCCGGAGCAAGGCAGAGGGGAGGAGAGCTGGGAAGAAGGAATCCTGCCACCCCTTCCTTGGCGTGAAGGAAGGACTTCATCGGCCTTCTGGAACATTCCTTCTCAGTGAGGCAGGGACGTGGTTACACTTGGCTGGAGCACGGCCCCTACTTCAAGCACCTCTGCTGGCTCTGTCCACGCACAGAAACAAGAACAGCTCAGTGATGGTGACAGAGAACAGCAGACAGCCCTAGACACTGCCTCTGCCCATGTATCCGCTCACAAAGCTGGCCTCTGACATACCAGGCCTCTGTCAGGAGTGAGTTTAGTTTTACATTTTACACCTTTCTGTCCTGTCCTTAGAATCCAGAGGGCTGCCCTGTGAACAGAGGGGCCAACGGAAATACAACTCTCTCTCCGGGGCACTGAAGAGGGAGGGCCATGAGAAGGAAGACACTGAGTCAGAGTGTGAATGTGTTCTCACTGGTCACAGTGCAGCCTGTCAGAAGCACCAGGTTCCTGCCATGGGAGTGGAGGGATTCCCACAGAGGGGTCAGGAGGAGAGAGTCGGAGAGGGCGGAGGAAGTGTGCATGGAGTGTGTGTGTGGGAGTGGGGAGGGGGCAGGAGGGAAAGAAGACTGTCATCAGGCACAGGTGGGCCACTCCTGGCTGTGGAGGCGGGTGATACGCAGGTGCCAACTGCTGGGCCAGAGCGGGCACCACGCCGAGGTGTGGGCAGCAGCAGTTCCGAGTGCTCGCAGCAAGCCGGCCTTCTATCTGAGGTGCCTGGATGCTTGAGGAGGCCAGCAGCAGGCAGAAACTGTGGCTCAGGGCAGAAGGACCAGGAGGGAGACTAGACAGGTAGGAGGGCTCAGCCCCCGACTCTTAAGCCTAGGGAGCATCGCAGGTCAATTCGGGTGCCACTGAGAACGGGGAGGCCACTCTAGGAGGCAGCCCAGTGGGCTGTCCGTGGCTCTGAGATTGGGCCGACAGAAGTGAAGGGAAGGAGGTCCTGGGCACAGAAGCCCGGGCACTGGATGAGGGCAGGGCACACCACTCATTGGCAGGGAAGGCAGAACTAGGGGGCGGAGCCTGATTACAGGGCCTGGCCCCACAGCTCAGGGGCAGGGCTGGAGCAGGTGTTCTTATTAGGCAGAAGGCGTGGCCTGAACCCGAGGGCCACCTCTAGAGCCTCCCACCTCAGCATAAACAGATGGGGCCTGTCTTGGGGCCTCCCTCTCGCCCCCTGGAGGCCAGGCCTAGCAGGAGTTAACAGCCTTCAGCTTCTCCCTTTTAGAAGACGGGCAGGCAGTCCCTCTGCCCATCCTTTATCCTCAGGAGAGGTGACTGAGCCAGGGAAACGAGTCCATTCCTCCGGGGTTTACTATCTTAGAGGTCAGAGCGCCTTCCTAGGTCCCAATACACTGTCTCAGAAAAACAAGAAGCAGGCAGCCTATCTGGTCTCCAGGTAGATTCCTGGTCCGTTTAAGCCTCTCTGAGACCTTGAGGCTAACATGCATTCGGGAAGGAGCATGGGCTGTGGAGGCCCGGGAAATTTCTCTGGGCCATCATTAACCACTCGCTACAGCTGTCCCAGCAGCAGAGAAATCCGCAGTCCAGCACCGTTGCTTGGCAATGAGTGGCGTGTGCCTCTGTTCTCCAGCACAGTGGCTTTGAGCCGGCACGGGCCTGACAGGACAGGAGATACCATAAGCTCTTGCCTTGGCCAGGCCTTTTTAAAAAAGCTGGTCCCCTAGGCCTCCCACCCACTCAGTGCTGACATCTGTCAGGCATCTTCCCACCCACTAGTAGCTGATGGGAATACCAGAGCAGCCCCAGGAACACAGATGACTGCACCCATTTTTCAGAAGAGAAAAGTGAGGCCATGGAGACGTCTCCATGTTCAGTGGCTTGCTCATATTGCTACCTGGGCTGGAAGTAGCATTGGAACATGATTAAGGTCTTTTCAAACATCTCCTTCCCTTTATGTGGCCCCAGAAGGCCTGTTCCATAAGACTGAGGGACCATCTGATATTCAGGATAACAATGACAAGCAGGTACCAAGTACTAAGTTCTGGCTACTTAGCACCAAGAAAGGATTTTATTTAATTCTCACACCTCCTCCCCAGGAAAGGTAAATTACACTTTCCCGATCTGCAGATGAAGAAACAGGCTCAGAGAGGGCAGCGATTTGCCCCGGTCACACAGCTAGGCAGGCAGGGAACATGCTGGACCCAAAAATGACTGGATTCAGATAAGCAGGGGGAGGAGAGAAGAGGCCAGGAGAGGGAGGCGGTAGGAAAATAAGAGAGCAGTGTCTGGTGTCCTTGGAACAATGGCCACCTGGCCTGGCTGGGGAAGAAGTCCATGCCTGGGAGCTGGGACAGTCAGGCCGGCAGTCGGCAGTCGTAGGAGGGTTTCCTGTGTCCGCTGAGGGGTGGGGTGGGGGATGGGCGTGTTAGCAGAGAGTGGAAGCTCCAGAGCAGGGGTGAGGGGATGCGGAGGAGTTCTCAGATGAGCCCATAGGGAGCTATAGAGCTGCAAGGGAGGTGCAGGAAGCTGCTGGAATCCCTGGGCTTGGTCCCTGGGGGCGCCTGCCCCTCCCATCTGGACATAAAGGGCCTTTGGTGCTGGCAGAGAAGCCAGAGTGACTTCACAGGCCCCACAGACAAAGGAAGGGGCCTGGCTAACCAGGTCACTGTTCTCTGAACTCCCCGGGGGCCTCTGTCCTTGGCAGGATGTTCGGGGCACATGTTGCTCTGCTCCCTCAGCCCCTCTTCCTACGGGCAGCTCTCTCTGGGGCAGTGGCTCTCCATTGGGGCGCTCTGCCTCGCAGGGGACCCTGGGCAGACTGAGACACTTCTGGTTACCACAGCTGGGAGGCGTGGGGGCAGGGTGGCATCTAACTGTGTAGACACTAGGGATGCTGCTAAACATCCTACCAGGCACAGGACAGGCCCCTACAACAAGGAATTACCCAGCCCCAGGGTCGATAGTGCTGGGCCTGAGAAACCCTGCCCAGTTCCCACAGCCACGTGCTCCCTGGTGAGGCGGTGCAGATGGGAACACGGGCATCCCTACTTTACAGAGGAAAAAACAGGCTCAAAGGAGGAAGCAGCTTGTCCAAGAATGTGAGGCAAGTTCCTTCAGTCAACAAATGTCTGGGTACCTACTCTATGCCAGAAATCAAGTGATTGCAGAACTGAGACTGGGACTCATTTTTTTTTTTTTTTTTTTTACTCATTCATCAATATACATTTACTGTGCTGGCTGCTGGGGATCTGAAGTGGTACATTAGACCCAGCTCTGGGCCCGTAGGAGCTCACAGTCTAGTGAGAGACAGCCGCACAGACACTGACAAAACAGTGAGATCAGGAAGCCCATGGCTACCTGGAGAAATGTAGGAGGGCTTCCCAGAGGAGGCGTTTATAAACTAAGAGGTGAAGGAGGTAGGAGTTCGCCATCAAAGACGGAGGCTTACATAGAGGGTTGCAGGCTAGGGAGCAGCGTGTGTGCAAGGATGGAGGAGGGAGAACGTAGTCCGTAGGCCACACTTCCCTTGGTGGCAAAGCCCTCAGCTTTCAGCGCTCAGTTCAAATATCTGTTCAGTGATGTTCAACTGGCTCCACCCCCGCTCTATCCGGAGCCTCCCAGTGCCCACTCAGGGCTCCCACAGCCCCTGTGAGTCCCTGGTCATACCCAGTCCTTGTCTTGCTGGACTGTCCGAGTCTATTTGCCCATTTATCTCCCCTATCCCCTGAAAGTGCCTCAGGGGACTTTCAATGCGAGCAGACCAAAAGAATGATCCAGGCAGGTGCAAAGACCACTGACTGCTGTGTGACCTCGGGAAACCAGGGAGCCTGCTGAGCCTCAATCTCCCCACCAGCCTTCCTGGGTTGGTCTGAGGCCAGAGAAAAGCTGGTTAGCTTAGTGGGCAAGGACACAGGCTCTGGGGTCCGACAGATCCTGGATTTAAATCCTGGCTATCTGTTTATAGGCTATGACCGTGGATAAATTCCTAGTAGCTCTATGCCTCAGTCACCTCATCTGAAAAAGCGAGGAGAATAAGTGCCTGGACCTCAAAGGGAGGGTGGGGATAAAAGGGAGAGATCCACCAAAGGACTTGTGTGCATACAGATGAGCCTAACCAGTGGTCAAGGACAATAGGGGGTGGGAGCATGAGTGGGTAGGGGTGGGGGATTGGAATGGGGGGTTGAGGACAAATACGTGATACTTTAATCAATAAAGAAATTAAAAAAAAAAGAATAGATCCAGAGACAAATGGTAGGGGAGGGGGGTAGAGAGCAACCGAAGGACTTATATACATGCATATTAGCATAACCAATGGACACAGACCCTGGGGCAGTGGGGGCTTGCAGGGGGGGGAGGGGTGAGAATTACTGGCGGAGAGGGGAGTCCAATCAGGGAAAAAGGAGACATATGATAAAACTTTAGACAATTAATTAATTAATTAAAAAAAAAAAAAAAAAGAGTGCCTGTTCTTGGGGAGAATTCCCCTCGGTGTTCTTGTCTTGCCCCTCCAGGACCTCGTTCCTGACTCAGGAACACACCAGGCTCCTGGCTGCCGAAAGGCTGGCATCTGCTGCCCTTGTCGGCTGTGTGATTTCGGGAGGGCATCGACCTCTCAGCCCCAGGGTCTACTGACTCTACTGGAGAACTGTTCAGACCCTCCTCCCTCAGCAAACTCCCATCACCTCCTCTTGCCCCTCCTCAGCCCTGAGGATGGCCTTGCTCTCTCCCTCGTGGGAAAGGCGAAGCCATCGGAAGAGACTTCCCACAGCGCCCCTGCCCCTCGGTGCCCATCATCCTACCTTCTCCGGCTCCCAGCAGATCCTGCTCCTCAGCTGTCACTCCAGCGACTCTCGCTCCTTCATCTCCAATTCCGCCTCCTTCTCCTGGGTCTTTCCCATCAGCCCATACATAGGCTGTTGCTTCTCCTGCCTTAACCCAACAGCTGCTGCCACACACTCTCCTTCCGGCAAATAAAACCCCTCGGAAGCACTGTCTCCACACGCCGTCTCCACTTCCTCTCCTCCCATTCTCTCTCAGATGATTTCGTCAGGCTTTTGACCCTACTGCGCCACCAAAATAGCTCCTGTTCAAGTCAGCAAAGACCTCCATGTGGCTAGACGGGAGAGCAGTTTGGGGTCTCTCACACGTGGCGTAGCCACCACCGGCCACTCCCCTCCTGGTAGCACTTTCTCCACTTGGCCTCCAGGATGTGCCAGGGTTTCCTCCTACATCTCTGGCAGCTCCTTCTCCGTCTCCTTGGCTGGGTCCCCCTCCTGTCCCTGCCTGCCCCAAAGCTCCAAATGTTAGAGTGGTCCTCCCTCTCTTCCATCTACCCTCACTTCCCGGGTGAGCTCACCCGGCCCATTCAGGACTGCCCACATGCCCAGGAGGCCGCCCTGACCTTTCTCCTGGGCTGCAGACTCGTCATCTCAGCTGCCTTCTCCACATCGGTACTGAGACACTAACTGGCTTTGCAGACCTCGTGCTCACAAGCCCATCCTTCCAATCACCTCTGCCAAAATCACTGCAGGCTTCCTTGTCTTCTTTTTCTCATTTTCAACCCATTAGCAAATCCTATTGGCAATCCCTTCAAAGTATATCCTAAATCAGACTCCCCTCACCACCTCCACTGTCACCACCATGCTCTAAGTCACCATGCTCTAAGTTCTTGTGTCAAACACAAGGCCCACGGGCCAAATCCATCCCGCCAGGCCTTGCAATGTGGCCCGCACCGCGCTGTCATCACTGCACTCTGCTGCGTTTCCATCGCAATGACAGTGTATGACTGTTCAGTAAACCATTCGGCCCGCGATTTAGGCTGGATTTTAGATTTTGGCCCCTTCTCTGATTGAGTTCGACACCTCTACTCTAAGTTCTCACTCTGGCCGACGGGCCCTCAGGGTCTGGCCACTGCTCCATCTCTGACCTCCTCACTTCAACTTCCCTTCTCACTCATTCCCTTCCAGCCATTCCCTCAGGGCCTTTGCTCCTGCTATTCCTGAGCCAGGAACATTCTTTCCTTGGATGACGCCATGGATCCCTCTCCTTCCTTCAGGTCTTTACTCCCATGCCTCCTTCTCAGTGTGGTCCAACTGGATCCCCAATCTAAGATCTCTATTCTACCTCAGAGCCCCCGAGCCCCTTTCCTATCCTTATCGTTATTTAATAAACTATGTATTTCTTCTATTTACCTTGGTTTCTTCCTCTCTCTACCCTAGAATGTGAGATCCACGAGAACAGGGATTTTTGCCCGTTTTGCTCACTGCTATATCTCTAGCACCTAGTATAGTGCCTGGTGTGAGGGAGGTGCTTTATATATACTGTACTTACAAAATGAATGAGTGACCTGCCCAGGGCCTCAGGCTCTTCACCTGGAGAATGGGTATACTAATAAAATCTTCCTCCTGGGGTTGTACGAGGATTCTTTGAGCCAAGTGATTGTGTAGGTGCCCAGCATAGGCTCTGGAACATAGTAGGTGTTCAGCAAAGCACTCTTTTCATCCCTTGGCCCTGCCCCCTTCCTGTGTTTAAAAAAGGGGGCTGGGCTGGGATGTGCTCAAGAGACCTCAGTCCATGAGCATTCTTGCCTCTTCCTGGACACTCTTGATGACAGGCAGGCAGGGCCTTACCTGGGTGGATATCCTGGAACAGGGACTTCCAGATGGTGTACTGCAGGGGGCCTGTGTACTTGGAGGTTGGAAAGTCCTCATACGTCAGATTACTCTCATGGATTTTCCCTTTGAGCCTGGAAGGAGAGCAGGAGAGCAGGTTGCATTGGGGGCTGGATTCCTGTCCCCACACTGGCCACCTTCAGGGTAGCAGACACAGGGTGAGGTCATGTGTGCAAAGTAGCCAGACCCAGATTCAAGTGCCTGCTTGTACCACTTCCTACCTCTCTAGCTATCAGCCTCAGTTTCCTCCTCTTTAAAAAGGGTACTATATGGCATCTGCCTTCTTGGTTGTAAGGATTACATGGCATAACATATATAAAATGCTTTGCACAGGGCTTGGCTCATGGCCAACACCAAATACATGATGTTAACTATCAGTACTGATCATCAACAGACCAATAATTAAGTGTTAATAATTAAGGGTGCTCAGAGAGACCAGGGGTTGAATCCCAGCTTTCCCACATACTATTGAGGAGCCTTAGCCAACTGATCCAGTTTCTCTGAGCCTCAGTTTCTACGTGTGTGAAATGGGGATGATAGTGGTAACTACTTTCAAGGAGGCTATTTATTATATATTAGAAGCCTGTTGCATGAAGGTTTGTGCTCGAATGGGCTTTCCTTTCCCTGGGCTGCCGGCACCACCTTTCCACTCTGGCCCAGCCCCTTTCCACTCAGGCTCTGGGAGCCACCTCTTTCCACTCCAGCCCCACCTTCCCATGCTGTCCAGAGGCCCTGAGGGGCCGGAGGTGGGGCAGAACACCTGCATCCTGTCCTCATCATTGAGCACCTGTGTATGCAAATTAACCACCATCTTTGTTGGGTTAATTTGCATATCACTCCTGATTGGCTAGTGGTGTAGTGGAGGTATGGTCAGTTTACGTTTGTCTATTATTAGGTAAAACTAGAGGTCTGGTGCATGAAAATTCATGCACTGGAGGGGGGCATCCCTCAGCCTGGCTTGTCCCCTCTCATAGTCTGGGAGCCCTCAGGGGCAGGAGGCAACCTGGCGATCAGAGGAAGGAGATGCCCCTATCACACCTCTGCTGCTGCCACTGTCGGCACCACAAGCTATGGTCAGCTCTGGTTACCTGAGCCTTGGGCAGCCCTGGGTCACTGGGCAACCGCCAGCCAAGGCTTTCCTGTGCCTTGGGCCGGCCCTGGGTGGCTGGGGGGGCTGAGGGTGGGTCTGGCTGCATTGTGTACCTGCCACTCCTCCTCTCCAGCTGGGCTGAAAGGACTGTGGGACTCTGGTAGCAGGCTGAGGGGAATAGGTGCCACCATCTTGTGGCTATGGGTGCCACCATCATTGTGAGAGTGTGACTGTCAATTTGCATATTCCCTCTTAATTAAATAGGACTGTGGTTGACAAACTCATTAGTCACAGTGCCAAATATCAATATTAAAACAATTGAAATTTTTTTGAGAGTCAAATTTTTTAAATTTAAACTATATAGGTAGGTACAATGTTATTAACTTAATTAGGGTACAGTTTGCCGACCACTGAGATAGGATAATATGCATGTTATTATAAATCATATAAATCTGTAAGTAACAAACATATTAAGACACAAGTAATATACTATATTATGAAACTATAAATACAAAGCCTTTAGCACAGACTCTGGCATACAACAGATGTCCTATACATTTGATAAAGATTGAATGAATGAATTCTCTGCTACCCACTTCATCTATCTCCATTTCTACCACCTCCCATGGGCTCAGTAGGGAACACCCTCCTCAGGAAGGCCCCCAACAGGCAGGCACTTGCCTCTCGGACAGGGAGGCCACCCCGGCCAGGAAGGTGTGCCGGTCGGTCTCGGCCAGCCGCTCCTGCAGGATCTGGGCGCCCTCCTGCACCTTGTGCAGCTGCTGGCTGTAGCGCTGGACCTTCTGCTCGATGTCAGTGAGTGTGCGCGCGGTGTCGGCCTCCAGCTCCTCCAGCATGGCCTTCTGCCGCTCCCGCAGCAGCCGGTGCAGCCGCTCGAACGCCTCGCCGATGGTGGTCCGCAGGCTTTTGGTGGAGGACTGGGGGGACAGCCGTCAGGGTTACGTTAGGGGGAGTAGATGGGGTGATGCCTGGATGAGAGATGGACACCCAGAGTCTTGGCATGTAGAGAGGAAGGAAGGATGGGAAAGGGCACACTTGGGGCGAGAATAGCGCATGCAAAAGCACGGTGGTATGCACTGACTGGCATGGCCAGGCACAGCACATGATTCCGTATGCCCTGTGAGGAAGCCAATGAGACAGTCCAGGTAAGACAATGAGGCACAAACGAGAGGATAGGCAAAGGGACATGTAGGGTGTGGAAAGGGTCTTTGACTGATTGGCTGGAGGTAGGCGAGAAAGTTGTGAGGATGACACCCAGATTTTGGGCTTAGGGTCAGAGGGATGAGAAGCTGGGAGATGGGTGGGAAGAAAGCTGGAGGGCAGGGGGCGGGGTAAGGAAAAGATGTTGAGTTCAATCTGTGAAGTCTTTATTTTTTTAGAAAAAAATCACTCCTGGGCTCAGGCAAAATGATAACGAGATGGCATCTCAGAAGCTTTATCAGCTGCAATGTGCTGGGCAAACCTTGGTGGTCGCTCACCCTGTCCTGCCACCCCCGAGGCCAAGGAACAAGAGCTGGAGGCTAAGGCCATTATCAGAGGAGGCAAGCACGGACTTTAGTGGTTCTCTCTGCCCCCACAAGCATGGCAGACCCAGAAGGGGGCTGAGTGGTGTGCAGTGTTTCCCAAAGTGTGGTACGTGTACCCCCAGGGGTACGGGAAGAGTTTGGTGGGGGTATGCGTTGCACCGGAGTTTGGTGGGGATATGCACTGCTCCGTGCTTAGCTGCACCTAATTCGTACAATTCTCATGAGTACGAGGGGTACTCAGCGTTAGGAAAACGATAGAAGGGGTACACATATGTCAAAAGTTTGGGAAACACTGGTGTAGGGCACAGGCTTTTGTGCCCACAGTGTGGGTGAGGATCCCAGCTCTGGGTCTTGAGTAGGGCAGCCTCAGTTGCCTGCTGTCTATGAACCTTAGTTTTTTTATCTGTGCAAAACTGAATGGTGAAGACTGAATGAGGGGATGTTCACAAAACGCATGGCGTTGTTCAAGGAGCAGAAAAAGAGCCTGGTCATTAAAAAGGCATCAGTTCTGACAGACGCATCCTAGAAGTTCTCCACTGAGAGACGGCTTCTGAGCTGCGGCCTGAAGAATGAGCGGATGTCAATCGCGGGCGAGGAGAACAGGAAGAGGGAGCAGCGCCAGTCAGGATGACACGCACGGGGCGCACGAGTGTGGCCAGGCGGCAGCAGTGTGTGGGGCCTGCCTCTGCGATTTTACTTTGTGGGATTCTGGCTGGGAGTTCACCAAGTCAGGGACCCTGCTGTGTACAGTGCCCAGGGCTCTGTGGGAGGCTCCACAAAGGCTCAATTAGGGCCAGTTTCCTCCCGTCTCAGCTGCAGAGAGAGCTGCTGGCAGTGGGCCAGCCTCCCTGCGCATGCCCACCCAGAGCGCCAGGCAGACAAAGGGGTGGAGGGGAGGCTGGGGACAGACAGCCGATGACTGAGCCCCCCACCCAGGGAGGGCAGAGGCTTCTGCAGCGGCAGGTCACGGCAGGTCACGATGAAGAAATGGGGCCTGCCCTTCCTACACCATCTGCTGCTGCCCCCAAAAGGTCCCCAAATTGCAGGGCCACCCCTTCCAGTTCCCCCTCAACCAAGCTGCAGCAGCATCTGGCTCACCGGCCACTCTCTACTTATCGAAAGTTCTGGTTTGCCTCCCACCTATATGGCTGCTCCCTCTCTGCCACCCCTGTTCCGTAGGGTGTGTCTGGGCCAGCCCCCCCCCACCACCACCACCACCATTCTCATCCTCCATGCCCTCCACCCTCTCCGGCTCTCGCTGCTTTGAGGAGGGCCCCCATGTCCTTATCGGTGGCCTTGCATGACTCCTGAGCCCCACGCTCATTTTCCCACCTGCCTCCTCCACACACACCCCAGGATGCCATAGGCCCTCCCACTCTTTCGATCCAAAGTCAGCTCTGTGTCTTGGCCAACAAACCCGCTGCCGGAGTGACCCTTCTGATGTGTAAACGGGGCCTCGGCCCATCCTCCGTCTGAGAACCTCTCTAGGCTCCTTGGGGACTGGTGAGACTCGGGATTCCTTAGCCTGGCATTCGGAGTCCTCGGTTCATCCCAGCTTCCCTTCTAGTGCCTCTGCACTGCAATTCCACCCGCCCGGGAAGAATACCCCAACAGAGAGCGTATCCACCTGGCAAACGCCTACTGATCCCGCGAGGCCCGGCTGTCTCCTCCGTGGCACCTGCTTTAGCTTTTCAGGCAGTGAGTCAAATGTTCCCAGAGCGTTTTGTAAATACGTTTTACTACACGGTCCCAGATCTTATGTGGCTCCCAGCTATTAGATCCATCCCTTGCCGAAACCGGTTTGGCTCAGTGGATGGAGCGTCGGCCGGCAGACCGAAAGGTCCCGGGTTCGATTCTGGTCAAGGGCATGTACCTTGGTTGTGGGCACATCCCCAGTAGGGGGTGTGCAAGAGGCAGCTGATCGATGATTCTCTCTCATCGATGTTTCTAACTCTCTGTCCCTCTCTCATCCTCTCTGTAAAAAAAAAAAAATATATTAAAAAAAAAATCCATCTCTCACCCCATGGGAATGATGTCTTCCTCGCTTCTTTCCTCCTCCCCCTCGACCCCCCAGTGTCCATCCCATGGCCTGGCACAAGGCTGGTGCAGTCAGGACCTGCCTGAGAGATGAAGGAGGGAAGGATCTTGCCCACGATTTCTCTGTAGAGGTGGTGCAGATCCCATCTTATTTCTAGAGGGGAGCCCCGTGTCCCCAGGACAGGAGAGGATGGGCAGGGGAGGTGGGAGAGGCCAGGAGAGGGCAGCTCAGAAGTGGAACATCAGAGGGACAGCCACCCCAGGAGACCCAAATATAGTTTCCTGACCTGCCTGGCTCGCTGGCCACAAAGCCAGGGATCTTGCTGAGGACACCCCAGCACGAGGCGGGAACAGGCACTAGGCTCTGACATCAGCGGACAGCGAGCTCCTGATTGGCCACGTACTAGCCCCGGGGCCTCAGGTCAGTCTGTCAAGCGCTCTGTGTCTCATTTTCCCTGCTGATGAAATGGAGATACCTCCAAAGGCGTTTCCAACCACACACACACTTATTTGTTCTGCAATTATGAACTGTGCGGTCTGAGAGTCCTACTGTCGTGGAGGTGACGTAGTGTGAGGCTCCATGAGACAAGGAATGGGAAGCAATTCCTAATGGAGAAAGGTTTCGCTTACCCGCTGTGTCCCGGTTACCACAGTTCTTTCTGTGGCAGAGCCACCTCTGCCTCACCCCCAACCCCTTTGGTACAACGGCTGGGAAAGCAGCCCCCACCCCAGCCCACCACATCCCTGGGAACACCCTGGGGCCATTTCAGAAAAACACCCTGCCAGGAATGCGTCACCCAGACAGGGCCGACCAAGGAAAACACGGGGCCTGTGGGGAGAGGTCAGACAGCCCCTCAGGCTGGGCCGCTGGAGGAGCAGGCGCCGGCAGGAAAGCCGAGTCAGGCACCAGGTGAAATATGACCTCAAAGCATCCATAGGCATTTCTTGTATAAACACCCAGTCCAGACAGGAAGCAGGGCTGGGGGAACTGGAGGGTAGGTGGCCCCCCAGGACCTCCCAGAGGTAGACAGATGGACAGGAAATCGGGGGAGGAAGAGGTCAGTGGAGAAAAACAATGGGGGGAGGGGGAAGAAGAGGAGAGAAGAGAATGCTGGGGAGAAGGAATAGGCCACATTCCCCCCCTCATCCAGGCAGAGGCTTCCACCGGCTTCTCTTTGTGTACACTCACCAGGCAGATCGGGAAACCGAGGCCGTGAGAAGCAGACAGGCCAGAGTTCTGTGACTGTTTCTCATTGGTTGCTCGCAGAGGGTCCTGCCCAGAGGCCCTCTGGAATGTTCTCTAGGGAAATGTCTGCAACCCCACAGCAGATTGCCAGCATGGGGCACAGAGCTGGATCTCCCGGTGCGTCCTCCTGAGGCCCAGAGCATTCCTAAGGCTCTGCCCCAGCTGCTGCTGGCAGTGAAGTCACACAGTGAGCAGTGCGTGGGGCCTCAGAATCCACAGCCCTCCTCTCAAGGCCCAGAAAAAAGGCTTTTCTTTTTCAATCGCTGTGGCCAGAGACAGGAGGGGTTGACCCTGTTTTTCAGAGCCCATAATCCCAGGCCTGAGTCAGACAGGGGAGATATCAGGCCTGGCCCACACATCATCGGGAGAGTTTCAAGGGAAGATGCTCAGGGCTGGCTCCTCAGTCAACAGGCCTGGTTCATCATGTAGGAGGAAAAAGACCCCTGCAGGGAGCCGCAGAGGGGCGGTTTCCAGGACCTCTGGTCCCACCTCAACCTCCACCCAAACCAGGAAGGGTGCGGGATCCACCCTTCATCCAAGAATAAGGTGACCAGACGTCCTGATTTTTAACAATTTGTCCCGCGGCGATTCGGGACTTTTTTAAAACGCCGCGGGACAAATTGTTAAAAATCGAGACTGTTGCCAAAACTGGTTTGGCTCAGTGGATAGAGCGTCAGTCTGTGGACTGAAAGGTCCCGGGTTCGATTCCGGTCAAAGGCATGTACCTTGGTTACGGGCACATCTCCGGTGGGAGTGTGCAAGAGGCAGCTGGTTGATGATTCTCTCTCATCGATGTTTCTAACTATCTATCCCTCTTAATTCCTCTCTGTGAAAAGTCAATAAAATATATTTTAAAAAAATTATTCATCACTTAAAAAAAAGAAATCGGGACTGTCTCGGGCGGGACGTCTGATCACCTTATCCAAGCACGAACCCAAATCCTAGCTCTCAGTTACCCTGCACTAAGTCCCACCTCATTTACCTTTGTTGAAGCCTCAACCTCGGCTCCGCCCCTCATCTTCCCTCTGGCCCCGCCCCCTCTGGCCCGCCCCGCCCCCTCCGGCCCCGCCCCGCCCGGCCAGTCACCTCCTGGGCCGGGCCCTGCTCACCTTGTTCTCCGCCAGCTGTCGCTTGAGCAGCTGCAGCGCCTCCGTGTGCTCCCGCTCGCTGTCCTGGAGGGCCTGAAGCTGCTCCTTCAGCTCCCTCTGGAAAGAAAGAGTCCCATTTTACAGTGCTTGCCAGTTCCCGCGATGTGAACACTCCCACCAAAGCCGGTTTCAGGCTATCAATGTGGGGTCCCAGGACACGGGGCTACACAGGAAGAGGTTTGCACCGTCAGCTCTCAGGAGCCGGTGCCAGCTGGCTCCAGCACACAGCGGCCTGGGGCCCTTCCCCATAGACGTGTTTTGTACGTGGAGGAGAAATACACCCTCAGCTAATTTCAGCTCCTTCCGTCAGGTCTGTATTGCTGACAGCTGGGAGTCATTCCTAAAGGATTCCTGTGTGAGAGAGAGTCTTGGAGCAGATGGACTAGTTCTCCCTGGAGACTTGAAGGAACCCTGCCCATCTGTTCTTCAGGCTCTCCCTGACTGCCTTGGGTCTGTCCAACTTGGGATATGGCCTGGCAGACACACAGATGTCTGAGGAGGTGGCCAAGAGCTACACGCCTCCCCCTTGGTGGTCCTCATGGGTCCACAAATGTCCCAGCCACCCAGGCGGCTCTTTAGTTTCTGAGAAAACTGCCCTGGAGGCTACATTCTGCACCTAGCTCAGGGAACCCCAGGCCTCGGACAACTTCCTTCCTGCCTTCAGGGCTGGAACAGAGCCAGCCGGCCTGCCCCTTCCTCTTGGACCCCGGGAGCAATGGAACCCTCATTTGTCCACTCCATGAACACGTGCTGAGGCCTTCATGGGCCCCACATGATGCTGTGTCAGAGACAGGGAGAGTGATGAGGGGCGAGTTTCAATCCATGATGCCTCAGGAGGGGTGCGGATGAGTTGGGAGGAAGGTAGGAACACAGACATGGATGCTTCTCTCTCTCCTCCTTCTTCCTTCCTCCTTTCCACTCTCTCTAAAAATCAATGGAAAAATAGCCTCAGGTGAGGATTAAAAAAAAAAAAAAGTTACCCGTCAATCTCCCCTACAAGATTGTGGGCTGTCAAGGGCTGTCCGATAGATTTTCACATTCTCAGTACCTAGGACAGGGCCAGTGGTTTGGGTGTGAATCTGCCCTGGGAAGAGCTGGGCAAGTCAGACTTCTGAAAGGGTGGGAGGGAGGATCTCTGGTACTTCCCACCCCACACACCCCCTACACACACCCCCGGCTTCCCACATGCCTGGTTCAGAGGCTGGCTCTTCCACACACTAACTATGTGACCTTGAGCATGTACCCTGACTTCTCTGTGCCCCAGTTCCTCATCTATGAAATGGGGATAATAATACCTTCTAGGGTTGGATAAGATGAGGTAACAGTAAGAAGTATTTAGTAACCTCAAAGGAAATCACAAGGCAGGCACATGTTTTCGTTGTTTTTTTTAAAAAATATGAAGTAATATGTTTATCCAACTGTTTCATTAATTCAATTTCTAGTTAAAAGATCAGAGGGTTAAGTAAGGGAAATGTACAGAATTTGTACCGCTGCGAGGACACAGACAGGGCAGAGCCTGGCATACAGAGTGCTCAGGGGATGGATGGTCACCATGGCCCAGGCTTCTGAGCCACCTCTCCGTGTCCTCCCCCCTTGCTGTGTTCAGGCCCCTCCCTGCCCCTCAGGAAGCCAGAGCAGGAAGGGGACCCAGGTACTATTTGGTCCAACCCCCTGGACTTCATGAACAGGAAATTAAGGTCCAAGGAAAGGGACTGCATGGCCCACAGCCACACGGATTGACACAGGAGAACCAACCGGATTCCCAGCCGAGGTCAGGCACGAAACATGAAGCTACTGATAGACTAAGTGATAGGGCTAACCGAGAGGCAGGGCACTGGCGATGCCAGGGCTCAGGACCAGAGGGGCTGGACGTGGCGTGATTTGGGTTTGGATTTCACGGGCGTCATGTCACCTGATTCTCACCTCCATCTCACAGAGGGGGCAATGGAAGCTCAGAGAGGTCAAGCAGCTGGCCTAAAGTCACACAGCTCAGGAGGGGCTCTGAGGGACTCCAAATCCATGCTGGACAGCCTCGGCTGCTCTGTCTCCCACTCAGTGCAACATCACCCGTGGTCAGGCTTTGGGCCAGCCACTCGAGGGTACAGACACAGTCCTTGCCCTTGAGGAGCCTGCAGTTAGCCGGAGAGGCAGAAACTAGCCAGGGAGAACAGAATAAACACGGAGGGATGGCCTAGGAACCAATCCAGCTGGCTGCCACCAGCGGTGTTTGTGACACTGTCTCCACCTGTTTCCCAATCTGTAAGTGCAGAGAACAGCACAGGCTCCTTGGGGTTCAGGATGAGATGACCTCACTCATGACCTGACACGATGCCTAGGATGTGCTGTCACTCCTAGTTGTTGCCATTATCGTCATAACAATGACAATCACAGGTGACATAGGGACTCAGGCCTGCGGAGCTTCCAGGAAAGAGTTTATTTCTGACGAACAGGTGGGCAGGGTTCCTTCAAGTCTCCAGGGTGGGGCCCAAACATTCCCACGGAGAGAACTTGTCAGGCAGGGGCACACCTGGCTGTGCAGGAAGTGGGGGGCCCGCAGGGGATGGCTGGAGCCAAGTATATGGCAGCGGTGGAGTCACAAGATGGAAAGGCCCTGGGGCTAGCTCCATGAGGGTGCGGGTGGAGAAGGCTTGAGTGGGAGCTGGGCAGGGCAGGAGGGGGGGACCGGAGGATGCACCTGCAGCGGGCAGAGCCACATCTGCACCTCCTGCGGAGGCGAGGGGCAGAGGCAGGGCTGGTGCATGGAGCACTCAGCTACGTAAATACTCAGGCGAGAGGCTCTTGGGCTCCCATAGGTTTGGAGAGGACAGCAGCTGTGGGGACACAGGTCCTCAAGGCCAGACCTCCCTCTTGAGCGGCCACCCCTCTCCCAGCCCAGGAGAGAAAGCTGCCTCAGGAAGCCATCTCTCCTTGACTTCAGGGGCCCTTCAGCTCCTCACTGATCAGTGCAGCCCAGGGGGGACCACGTGAGTCTGGCGTCAGGAAAGCCCCGGCTCCAATCCCGGCTGCACTTTGCTTCCTCAGGGCCCGCCTCTCAGGGCGTATCTGTCCAATGGGGATGAGAGCCACTCACAGGGCCGTGATGAGGGTTAGATGAGTGGGCTCCTATGAAAGGGCCCAGTGTGGTGCTGGCACATAGTGGGTGCTCAGGCTCTCCCCTTCTCCGTGCACCGGTACCGCCCTCTCTTCCCTCCTCTGCCCCGAGGATGCCGGAAATCTTAATAAGGCAAACTGAACCTGCTTCCCCTTGTCCTCTCCTCCCAACCCCTCCCGGTGCCCAGAACCCCGGATGCTCCTGTTCCTCCCTGCAGGACTGAACTCTTGCATTTCTTCGCTGTCTCTGAGCCCCACCACTCGGTCCATTCTGAGCTTCGCAGTCTCTGGCTACACCTCCTGTCTGCTCCCCAGCCTCAGGCTCTCCCATCAGTCCACCCTGAGAAGATCAGACCAGGCCACACTCGCCTGCCCAAACCCATTCCTGGCTCCCCGGCATCTCCAGGGTCAGATTCGAGCCCCTTGGGCTGGGGGACGGTGTATTCAAGGTCCTTTTGACCTGGTCAAGCTTCCCTTTCCGCTTTCCCCCATATACCTTCCCCTCCAGCCACAACAAACCACCTGGGCATGGGCTCACTTCCATGCCTGACCCTGGTCAGACTCTGGTAACCCAAGTCCCAGTTCCAGCTTCAGTGATACTCAGCACAGTTTCTGAGCCTCAGTTTCCTCATTTGAAAATTGGAGTGATGGGACTCAATTCACAGGCTGCTGGTGAAGACTGAGAGGGGGACAGAGAACCACGGCAGGGCCAGGGCTCATTCATTCTCTCCCGGGCCCCACACAGGCCTTGGGCTGGAGTGTCAGCCGAGAACATTCCTTAGTGAATCTCTGGACCCAAGGGGAACCCACCTCCAAGTCGTCCACCCCCACCCCACTGTCCAAGCAAATCTCAAGGTCCCGGAGGTAAAGGCTGGATGAGAGTCCACAGAGTTCTGGCCTAACCTTGGGCAAGTCCATTTCTCCATCCGGAAAGGGGGGAGAGGGTGGAACTGGATGGCCTCCGAGCTCCCTCCCCATCCAGGTGCTCCCCAAGGCAGTGAGACTCTTGGTGGGGAGGCTGAGTTCTGAGCTGGACAGACCCCCGTCTGAATCCCTCTCTGCCTCCCACTTACAAGGTACGGAGCGCTCAGCCTCCGAGTCTTCACTGGGTGCAGTGGGTGGAGCCCCACTCGGGGAGCAGGGAAAGAATGAAGGGCCGTTGGGAGGATTCAATGCCTGTAACAGCACCTGGCACACAGCAAGGGCCTAAGAAACTTCTTTAGCCAGTGGAGGGTGTTGTTGTTGTTTTTTTAGAGTTGTTATTATTTCTGTTGTTGTCACTCCTCACCAGATCCTTTTCTCTATCTAAAATAAACAACTCTAAGTTTCTATACTGTAGCCTGTGCTCAGCCAAGGTGGCCTGGATGAGCTGGGCATTCCTGGCTCCAAAGACACCTGTGAGGAGGGACGCGGAGAGGCCAACAGCTAGCTCCGGGTTTGACTAACTGCCAGCCTGGCCGCCATGGAGGCAGCTGTCTGCCCATAAATCCTGCCCTGTCCTGGGACACAGACAACCTGGCTGCCTCCCTGTCCTTCGTATCTGCCATTTCTTTGGAGGGGAAGCAACTCTCTCCCCCTCTTTACACAGGAAGTGGACAGTCTTGTTCCTACTTCCATTTCCAGAGAAGCAGTACCTTCCATTCAGGTGGAGTGAGCAGGATTGGAACCCAGCCCCCCACCCCTGATCTTTCTCTGTGCGGCTGTCTGGGCATCTCTGGGTCACCACACCCGGTTTTTCAAGGCTCCCATCCAAGGCGGATCCACCTCTGTCTCCCTCGGTAGGAAGGCGGCCTTGGGAAAGGCTCCAATGGTCACATGAGGCCCGGAGGGGGTGTTTGAGACGGAATCAGATCCCTTCTCAGGCGAGGAAGCTGAGATGGCCAGAGAACAGCACACTATGCCTGACTCAGATGCCATCCAGCCACCTGCCCTCGGGGCATCAGCTGGTACAGGTGGCCTGTGTCCTTGGCCTGACCCTGGGCCGAGAACTTGGAATACAAAGACAGGCAGGACCCGGCTCTCAGAAGTAGCTCGCAGGCTATGAGCAGCCCAGTCAGACTGGCTTCCAATTCTGCCTCTGCTATTTACTAGCTGGCTGGCTGAACAAGTCCCTGCATTCCTGAGTCTCCGTTTCCTTATCTGTAAAAGGAACAAATTACAGAACCCACTGGACAGGGTGTTATGAAGATTAAACGAGGCAATACCAGAAAAGTGCTTAGTACAGCCCCAGGCATCAGGCTAGAGCTCAAGTAATATTAGCGGAGAAGTCCCAAACCCTACTGAGATGAGGCTCCTCCTTCCCCCTTTGCGCCATGATCTAGTGCTCAGCAGTGGAAAAAAAAAAGGGGGTGGGGAGGGAGGATGTACACACACACACACACACACACACACACACTCTCTCTCTCTCTCACGTGCTATTTACACAACAAGAATTCTGTAGAACTACAGTAGAAAGCAATTCTTAGCAGGTTTCTCTATGGGATGTAACTACGGGGAGACTAACTTTTTTACATTATATAGCTCCGTTTATTATGCTAATTCTACCATCAGAAAAGAAGTAAAAGGCATTTCAAATCGGTTGTGTGCCTCTCTGTGCCAGGCACAGTATCAGGCACCTTGGACACAGATCTTTCGCCCGTGTTATAGATGAGCAGGCCAAGTGACCGGACCAAGGACACACAGCTTCTCAGTGAGGCCAGGATCTGACCCCAGCAGTGGGACCTGGGGAGTATGAAGCAATTCTGCCTGGCAGGTCAGGGAAAGCTTCATGGGGCAGGTGATATTTGAGCTGAGCCTGGAAAGCTGAGTAGGACTTCTTCAGGCCTGGGTTCCCAACCGGGGCTGATTATGACCTCAGGGGACATGGGATAAAGTATGGAGACTTTATCCCATGTCCCCTGGGGGAAGGACGCTACTAGCATTTAGTGTGTAGAGGGAGGCCAGGGGTCCTGCCTGCTACACATATCATGCACAGGACTGCCTTGGACAACAAAGAATTACCTGGCCCTAAATATCCATAGTGCAGAGTATGATGTAATATCCTAGAGATGCTATTATTTATTAAGTGCTTACAATGTGCCAAGTGCGGTATTAAGTTCTTGCAAATGTCATCAAATTTAATCCAACCCCATTACTCCACGCTGTCAGTGAGGCATGTGAGGCTCCGAGATGATACGTTACTTTCTTTCTTTCTTTTTTTTTTTTTTTAATATATATTTTATTGATTTTTTACAGAGAGGAAGGAAGAGGGATAGAAAGCTAGAAACATCAATGAGAGAGAAACATCAACCAGCTGCCTCCTGCACACCCCCAAATGGGGATGTGCCCGCAACCGAAGTACATGCCCTTGACCGGAATCGAACCTGGGACCCTTCAGTCCACAGACCGAGGCTCTATCCGCTGAGCCAAACCGGTTTTGGCGATACGTTACTTTCTTAAGGTCACACAACCAGAAAATGGCAGCCCTGGGTTGGAGCTACCTGAATACAAAACCAGACCTCTTAACTGTTCTGTTCTGCTAACTCCAGATGAATAATAAATTTAAAAGCTTCAGACCAACGGCTAGGGGGGTGGGGGTGGGGGTGGGGGAGGTGGGAGTCTCCCGCTGAGCCTATGCCCCGCCCCCTTGTGGCCTTGAGCAAGGTGCCTCCCCTCCTACCGTTCCCCATCTGTCAAGTGAAGGTTGCACCAGCCAATCTCCAAGGCTGCCAGCGCTCAGTCTGTTATCTGTAGGAGAGGGGCCGATCCCAGGCTCCCGAAGCCGCCGCTGGGAAAGGAGGGGTGTGGGGGGCAGTTCAGCCTCAGACCCAGGGCACAAAGAGCTCCTAAGGCGAGAGATGCAGGTAGGGGTTGGCGTGGCTTGAACCCTACCCAGGAGCTTCTCTCTCTAATGGGGAGGCATGTTTCTCTGCCACCTTCTTGCCAAGCCCACGTGGGCACCAAAGCCAGGCCTCCTGGGGCAAGAGAGGCAGGGCCGGGCATTTCCCCAGGTGGACATACGCGTTCTCACAGGTGGAAGGAGAAAGAGTGGGAGTGCATGCTGACCAAGCCCCACCACAGCCAGGCGTCTCTAGCAGGTTCATCACGGGTCAGCTTCATTAAAATCCTGGCGGGAAAGAATCCCCCTGGCCCCAGTTAACAGATGGGAGCAGCAAGCTACATGCAGTGATTTAGCTGAGTTACACAGATAGCGCTGAAGGAAGGTTTGGGACGTAAGTGCTGACTCAGGGCGGTACACGAGAAGGTAAGTGAGTGGCCGAAACCAGTTTGGCTCAGTGGATAGAGCGTTGGCCTCCGGACTGAAGGGTCCCAGGTTTGATTCCGGTCAAGGGCATATACCTTGATTGCGTGCACATCCCCAGGAGGCGGAGGCAGCGGATCAAAGTTTCTCCCTCATCAATGTTTCTAACTCTCTATCCCTCTCCTTTCCTCTCTGTAAAAAAAAAAAAAAAAAAAAAAAAAAAAAAATCAATAAATATATATATGTATTTTTAAAAAGAAGGTAAATGAGTGGCAGTCCTGTTTGTCTTGTTATCCAAGAGTGAAAAGTGTTTCATTAACATTTGGAGAAAATATATATTCAGTTTCTCCTCTATTCCCCAGGTCACAAAATGGACAACAAAAAACCCACACACAGTAATTCTGATTTTTCTGGTTTCCTGAAAAAGGAACCAGGGTTCAGTGGGCAGAGGCCTCTCCAGCTAGAAAGTCAGACAGGAAGAGGAGAGATGAGGGAGGGGTAGGGGAGGGATCAGGCCCGGTCAGGCTGTGCATTCTAGCCGGATCGATCTCTCATTGTCTGGCAGTGTATTTTTGGGTAAGTCACACCCCCTGTCTAGATCTCAGTCTCCACATTTATGTAATCAAGAGGCTGGACAGATGGTTTCAGATAAAGTCCCTTCAAACTCCTACAACCTGCACCTAGTCCTGTCAAAGATTCTTCCCTTTTCCCAGTTTATGTGATTTCACCAACAAGGAGATGGAACAAGGAAGGAACTCTGGAGGTCAAGGGCCAATCCTAGCCCTAGCTCCCAGACCAGCCCTTGCTCTCCATACTCAATGAGCCAGACTGGAAGGAAGTCAGTCATGGTTTTGGGATGAAAGGGGCGGGAAATGGGGAATGGGGAGCATAGGCCATTTCTCCGGGGACCAACGCCCATCTGCATGAGCACCTGCTAGGTTCAGGCTGACTTGTAGGGACTCAGGTACACGGATTGGGGGGAACCCCCTAGAATATGGGACAAAGTTGTTCCTTATCTCCTGCATAAGCATCTTGCAGGCCAGAGAGCTCACTCCCCCAAGTTAGCCCACTGCATTTTCGTGAAACGTTTGAGTTGAAACTGTTCTGCTTCCAAAGGCTCCATAGTCTGGGCCAGTTCTGGTCAAGGTTGGTCATTCATTCATTCAGCCTTTACTGACATGCACCGTCAGCCAGGCTCTGGGCCCACAGATACAATGAATAAGAGACGGTCTCTGCCCTTGGGGAACTAACTATGTGCCAGACGGTATGCCAAGGCCAGAGGTGTGAGGCTGCTAGATTTAAATGGTTTGGCTTGAGAAAGAGAGATTCCAGGCTTCAATAAGCTTGGAACTATTTTATTAAATACAGTAATGTGAGTTTCTTTGCTGCTGCCCAATCCTTTAAAATGGCAAATGTGCACCAAGAATCCTCTGTGCACTGAGAATCCTGTAAGGGGAGTACAGAGAATATACTATATTTCTCAAATATAGATAATCTGGAACACTTTTTAAAGCATCATACTTATTAACAGAGAACATCAGGGGACATACATGCAGCTCTAATGCTGTTTTTTCCTTTTTTTTTTTTTTTTTGCCAGTGGAACTTGGGGAAGGCTTACTCAGAGAGAATGTGTGAGCAGGGCTTTGAGAACTGAGCTGGAGTTGGCTAGTGCAGATGGGCAGGTTTAAGGGAGGCCATTTACAGTCTTAGGCAGACTGTCCTCAGGTTACCATGCATGTGCTCTTTCATTGAGTCTGCAAATGTCCTGATGTGAGTGACATGGCCAAGGAGGTCATCAAAAGCCCCTGGAGACTCCTACAGGTGCACACCCTGCCTTCTCAAATCACTTCACCTCAGGGCCTCATTCTCCGAATCTTGGCCTTCAAGTCCTGTCCCCACTCTCAACCAGGGCTCTACTCTGGTCTGAATCCCAAATGGTTCTTACAAGAGCATTTCAACTGGATCCCAGCCTCAAGCCCTTTCACACCTCAGCCTAGCCCTTGGCACCCAAACCCACTCTCTCAGCAGTTTGCTGACCCTAACCTAAACCCTCTCTCGGATTCAATCCCTGCCTGCCCAATTCGGGTGCTGCCCCGTGGTCCTGATTCACATATGATGGGCCTCCATGTAGTCTTGGCCCATCCTTAGAGACGGTTCCACCCCCTGTCTAGCCCTGACTGTATCCCCATTCCAATCTGTGTCTGTCCCCAATGCTGTCCGAAACCATTCTTACGGGGGCCCATCTCCAGCTCCAGCCCCAGGACAACTGGCAGTGACCCTTTCCTTGGCCAGCTCTGCTTGGGCTCATTCCCATGTGTCCCTCCCTGACTCTATGGGTGCCCTCTCCAGCAACCAGGGACTTAACCCCAACTTCAGTCTATCTCAGGCCCCGCCCCTCACCGCAGCCACGCCCCCTCCACGCCCCCGCACTAATTCTGATAGGCCCCTCACCCTGCCGGCGGCCCCGCCCCCTGGCAATGATGACTTGGCCCCGCCCACGGGCCAGCCTGGACCCTGCCTCCGGGCCTGCGGAGTCCCCGCCCGGGGCCCGCGGGGCTGGCGGCTCACCTGCAGCTCCTCGAAGGCATCGTCGATGCCGGTGACCTGGTGCTGCTCGTGCAGCGCGGGCTCGTCGCAGAAGAAGCACAGCAGCGTGCGGTCCGTGAGGCAGAAGAGCTTGACCTTGTCGTGCGCCTGGCAGGGGCGCGCGGCGCGGCGCGCGCTGAGGATGGCGTCCAGCGGGAAGGCGCGGTAGCGCTCCACGATGTTGGCCAGCTTGAGGCTGGGCGCGAAGGCGGGCTCGGCGAAGGTCCGCCGGCACTCGGGGCAGTCGCGGGCGCCCTGCGCCTCCTGCCGCAGCCAGTGCTCGGCGATGCAGCGGCGGCAGAAGTAGTGCTCGCAGCCCAGGCTCACCGGGTCCTGGTAGATGCTCAGGCAGATGGAGCAGAGCAGCTCGTCCTTGAGGCTGCACGCCATGGCGCCGGGGGCGGCGGAGGCGGGGGCTGAGACGCAGGGGGGCTGCCGAGAGAGCGCGGCGAGGTCGGGGGCGGCACCCAGCACCCAGCAAGGATAGGTGGGGGGAGCGGGCCGGCGGGGGCAGGAGCAGGCGCTACGGCCCAGGAGACAGGGAGCATGAGGAAGGGATGCGGAGCAGAGAAATACCCGAGATGCAGCGTAGGAAGGTGGTCTCCAGGCAGTGGGTGACCTGAGGCGATGGGTGCTGGAGGGAGTGCGCCGTGGGCGTCTGAGCGAAGGGACTCCTGGCAAGAAGGGGCTAGGGGGAGGGGCAGTCTGAAGGCATGGGTGCTGGGAGAAGGGGATCCGGGAGGGGAAGAAGGTCTGGGGGTGGGGAGGGTGCTGAAATCCCGGGATGGGTGCTATGGGGGAGGGGGAGAAGCTGGGGATGGGAATTCTGGGGGAGGGAAGAGCCAAACGGGAGCCGCAGCACGGCTGTGCCCGGCAGAGGAAAGGAGGGGAGCGAGCATGTTCATCAGCCCGGTCCCGGCCCCCAAGACCCGACCCAGCGCGGATTCTTACCCGCCGCCGGCCCCGCGGCCACTGCCCGGGTCCCAGCGCCGCTTCTCAACCCGGAACCAGCCGCGCCGGAGCGGCCAGCAGCCCCGGCTCCCTCTCCGCCCCCGCGGGCGGGACCGAGTGACTCCGCCCTCGCGGCGGGCGGGGGGGGTGGGAGGGAAAGAGGGGGCGGGGCCCAGCCTGCAGCCCGAGGACCCCCTCCCTGCCCCCGCCACCCTCCCACCCCTGCGCCCAGCTGTTCTGCAGGGTTGGCACTCGGAACAACACCCAGGTCTTGCTTAGGGGCCCTGCGGTGCGGGGGCAGCTGATTGGAGAGCCTAACGAATAAAAAGAGGAACATCTTTTTGTCATCAACTTAAAGACTTGGGGAAAATAATATGTATGTTATCTGCATAGGATACAATTTTTTAAAAATATATATTTTATTGAGTTTTCACAGAGAGGAAGAGAGGGATAGAGAGCTAGAAACATCGATGAGAAAGAAACATCAATCAGCTGCCTCCTGCACACCCCCCAACCCCCCACTGGGGATGTGCCCGCAACCAAGATACACGCCCTTGACCGGAATCGAACCTGGGACCTTCAGTCTCCAAGGCCAACGCTCTATCCAGTGAGCCAAACCGGTTTCGGCTAGAATGCGATTTTGTATAACATGTAAAGATTAAACTCGAGGAATGCCCTGCTTGCCTAGAGCAGTTCGAGACCCTCACATCCCTAAGTCCTGGGGACCCATTTCCTCTCCCCTTTCTGAAGGAATGCTTGGGAAGAAGTTTGGAAAGCGCTGGGCCTGGCTAACGTCTGATCCTAGGAGTTGCCTCCATTCAGCAAACATTTTTCCAGTGCCATGTTTGTGTAAGTGTGTGGAGGTGGGGGCGAGGGTGCGGGTGGGGATGGGGTGGGGGGTGGGGATGGGGGTGGGGGTGGAGCAGCAGAAGGAGTAATAGGAGACCTTGTTTGCACGCCAGATGGAGAGGGGATTCTAGCGGGAGGGACAGCATGTGCTGAAGCAGAGCGATGTGAAGGGGGAGGGCACATTTGGGGGAAGTGCAAGTTGTTCTGTTCTATTGGGGGAGGGGCTGGGGGAGGTGAAGGATGCTGAGGGCCATGGTAAAGGGTTTCCTGAAGTCATGGGGTGTCTGCGCAGGAAAAGGACCAGGTCTGACACGGGTTTCAGGAAGTCCAGGAGATGCTCATTATATGGTCAGCAAATCGAAGGCAGCGACCCATTCTGATGTGTCTGCAAATATGCACCGCTCCGTACACAGTGAAGGTGTGTGGCCGGATAACAGTGGCAAACATGTGGACTTCAGGAAGAGAGCCTGGGTACCAGTTAGGTCATGGTTGTCATATGCCTGTGGGACATGAGACTGCATGGAGGCCATGCAGTGGGAAAGGAGAGAAAGCTAGGGTGCTGAAAGCATAGACACTGACGTTGGTAATAGATTGGATATGGAGGTGAGAAAGAAGGAGGCACGGAGGGTAGCTCCTCAGCTTCTAACTCTTCCAGCAATGTCTTCACTGGGATTACACTTTATTGAGGTACTAGTGGCCCGGTGCACGAAACTCATGCACGGGGGAGGGGGATTGTCCCTCAGCCCAGCCTGCACCCTCTCCAATCTGGGACCCCTAGAAGGATGTCCTACTGCCAGTTTAAAGGGATCAGGCCTAACTGGCAGTCAGACATCCCTCTAGCAATCTGGGACTGCTGGCTCCTAACCACTCACCTGCCTGCCTGCCTGCCTGATTGCCCCTAACCACTCTGCCTGCTGGCCTGCTCGCCCCCATCTGCCCCCGCTGCCACCAGCCTGATCACTCCCAAATGCCCTCCGTGCCAGTGTGCTTGCCCCCAACAGCCCCCACCCCTGCTGGCCTGCTCACCCCCAACTGCCCCCCCTGATGGCCTACTTGCCCCACCTTTCCTCCCCATTGGCCTGCTCACCCCCAACTGCCCCCCTGATGGCCTGCTCACTCCAAACTGCACCCCTGCCCTGCACTGTCCTGATCACCTCCAACTGACCCCCAACTGACAGCCTGCTTGCCCCCAACTGGTCCCCCTGCTGGCCTACTCACCCCAAATTGCCCCCCCTCCAGCCTGATCACCCCCAATCCCCCCCCCCACCAGCCTGATCACCCACAACTGCCCTCCCCTCTTGGCCTCTAACCATCTCTACCTCGGCCCCGCCACCATGGCTTTGTCCAAAAGAACATCCGGAAGGTCTCCTGGAAGGTCTCCCAGCATAATTAGCATATTAGCCTTTTATTAGTATAGATAATTTAAGAAAGAGCTTGCCGTTTACTCCTCTGCTGCTTATGTGTCCCCCATCACACCATCACTCGGTCCCATGTCTCCATCGTTGCCAGCGATTCCTTCACTTTTTCTTGCAGTCAGAGCCCTGATTTTATTCCGGCGGTTCCCCTCCTCGTGTGACCCAAGAAATGAGCCCCGTTTGGTCCACGGCCATTGTGGTGGCCACATGCCTCTTGCCAGTGACGTCTTGGGCTTGGAAACGTGAGGCAGGTCTGGCCTGAAACACCGAAGGGGAAGCCTGTGGTCGGGAGGGGGCTTCTAGAAAGCATCTCTTCACTTTAAAAATCAGCCTACCCACTTCTCTGGGTGTGGACGCAGTTGGCAGCAAGCAATGCTTGGATTGCCGCAGCCATCTTGGTCTCAGCCAACACCTGACTGAATCCAAGAGGGTGCTAGGGAAGAGGAGCTGGCTGGCTGAGACAGAGCCTGGACTGTGAGATGGTCCATCTTATTGCTTTAGCAAGTTTAATAGCCTGTGCTGTCACCTGGCAACCAAAAGAATCACAAATGATATGCTGATATGCATGCCCATTTAAAACAATGATTTATTTATTTATTTTTGTCAGGAGGGCATGGTCTTTCTAAATCAGTGGTCGGCAAACGGCCGTTTGCCGCTCTATTGACTAATGAGTTTGCCGACCACTGGTCTAAATTATTGAATTATTTGAAGAAAATTAAAAAGACTTCATTTAGTCAACATATAACCCATACTCCTCTTCTATAGCAACAAAGCAGCTGGAAAAATGTCTGGTCAGCCAGAGACCCCACACTTGCCAGTTGCTCTGAGTGTGGCTTCCTGACCGAGTCCTTTTCAGTGAGATGTAAGTGACATAGCCCTTAAGGCACTAGGTTTTTGCTCCTCCATGTTCCATTGAGTGGGAATACAGATGTGTTTACCTCACAGGGTCTGACCGAAGGAACCTGTGTGGAGTGGAGCCACCTACCAACGTGGACTAGCTCGAGTGTGAGAAATGAATTCCCATCTTCTATGAGCCGCTGCATTTGGAGTCTTTGTTGCAGCAGCTTCACATTCCCAGTGCTATTCTATATCTGTTTTTGAGAAGAGACTCTGGTACTATTGAATGCTATTGTCTAAATAGCTACTTTCAGTAGCCAAGTTCCTCTTCATAGTTAGCGTCAATCTCTTCCAAAGCGTATGGAAAGTAGTTTCCTCTGGCTGAAACTTACAGCCTCTTTGACCTTTCACAACGCTTTCCAGCTTTTAGCCTTTTCACCCCTGGAGCTGTTTGTTCTTCTGACTTTACTTAGTCTCAGTTGCCAAAGAAAAAAAACAACAGGCCCAGAATGGTGTCATTTGTGCTAAAAGCCAGTGATGGCAAATCTAATACCTGATCTGTCATTGCCAGAAACGAAGTTGGTTGCTTATGCAAGCAGCGATTCATTAACTTTTATAATCTTATTCAATCAGTCTGGTATTTTTCTGGTCCAGCACCAGTAAGGCAATCTGTCAGATCGTCCTCCTCTCCATCCCCCTTAGAAAGAAGAGGCATTTGACATCATAAAAACCCTTTCTTTTCCTCCAAGCCCCCAAACAATCATTTTCCTTTCACTGATTGAGAGAAACCCCCTTTTCCCTCCCTTCTTTCTATGTGACCCTCCCGGTTTGTACAGCTCCATGGAGCGTCCTTCTGGTTGCTGATGAGATGCTGCCCTACTCATGGATTGTTTACCGAAGCCAATGAGATGTTCAAATTTACTCAGTTGAATTTTGTTTTTAGCACAGTTAAGACTATATGCAAACTGTTTGTTATACTTAAGTTTGTCAAGCCATTGCTCTTTCTGGATGTTTGTTGAGGGGGTCTAAACCTTAGAGATCCTGACGGTAGTAAATGCTTCCATTCACACTCTAAAAAAACCAGTAGCATCAGCTGAAACTGGTTTGGCTCAGTGGATAGAGCTGATGCCTGAGGACTGAAGGGTGCCAGGTTCGATTCCGGTCAAGGGCATGTACCTTGCTTGTGGGCACATCCCCAGTGGGGGGTGTGCAAGAGGCAGCTGATCGATGATTCTCTCTCAAAGATGTTTTTCTCTATCCTTCTCTCTTCCACTCTGTAAAAAAAAAAAATCAATAAAATATATATTTAAAAAAATAAATAACATCAGGAATTAAAAAAAAGAAAGGAAGGCCCAAACAC